TTGAGCCTATGTGTATCCTTGCATGTGAGATGGGTTTCCTGAATACAGCACACTGATGGGTTTTGAATTTTTATCCAATTTGCCGGTCTGTGTCTTTTGATTGGGGCATTTAGCTCATTTACATTTAAGGTTAATATTGTTATGTGTGAATTTGATCCTGCCATTTTGATGCTAGCTGGTTGTTTTGCCAGTTAGTTGATGCAGTTTCTTTATTGTGTTGATGCTCTTTACCATTTGGTACATTTTTGGAGTCACTGGTACTGATTGCTTCTTTCTATGTTTAGTGCTTCTTTTAGGAGCTCTTGTAAGGCAGGCCTGGTGTTGATGAAATCTCTCAGCAATTGCTTGTTCATAAAAGATTTTATTTCTCCTTTGCTTATGAAGCTTAGTTTGGCTGGATTAGAAATTCTGAGTTGAAAGTCCTTTTTTTTAGGGATGTTGAATATTGGACCCCACTCTCTTCTGGCTTGTAGTGTTTCTGCTGAGAGATCTGCTGTGAGTCTGATGGGCTTCACTTTGTGGGTAACCCGACCTTTCTCTCTGGCTGCCCTTAGCATTTTTTCCTTCATTTCAACCCTGGTGAATCTGACAATTATGTGCCTTGGGATTGCTCTTCTTGAAGAATACCTTTGTGGTGTTCTCTGTATTTCCTGGAGTTGAATATTGGCCTGCCTTTCTAGGTTGGTAAGTTCTCCTGGATAATATCCTGAAGACTGTTTTCCAGCTTGGATTCATTCTCTCTCTGTCACATTCAGGTACACCTATCAAACATAGATTAGGTCTTTTCACATCCCATATTTCTTGGAGGCTTTGTTCATTTCTTTTCACTCTTTTTTCTTTAATCTTGCCTTCTCGTTTTATTTCATTGAGTTGATCTTCAGTCTCTAATATCCTTTCTTCTGCTTGGTCAATTCAGCTATTGAAACTTGTGTCTGCTTTGCGAAGTTCTCATGTTGTGTTTCTCAGCTCCATCAAGTCATTTATATTCTTCTCCAAGCTATTTATTCTCATTAGCATTTCATCTAACCTTTTTTCAAGGTTCTTAGTTTGTTTGCACTGGGTTATAACATGTTGTTTTAGCTCAGAGAAGTTTGTTATTACCCACCTTCTGAAGCCTGTTTCTGTCAATTGATCAGACTCATTCTCCATCCAGCCTTGTTCTCTTGCTGGTGAGGAGTTGTGATCACTTAGAGGAGGAGAGGCATTCTGGTTTTTTGGTGTTTTCATCCGTTTTGTGCTGTTTTCTTCCCATCTTTGTGGATTTATCTACCTGTGGTCTTTGTAGTTGGTGACTTTTGGATGGGGTCTCTGAGTGGATGTCCTTTTTGTTGATGTTGAAGTTACTTCTTTCTGTAAAAATATGGAATGCTTCATGAATTTATGTGTCATCCTTGCTCAGGGGCCGTGCTAATCTTACCTGTATCATTTCAATTTTAGTATATTTGCTGCCAAAGCAAGCACTACTTAAATCTTTTGAATAACTTTGAGAGGGTTGAGAAGTTGTTACCTGATCAGATATTGGAGTAAAATAGTTCAGTTAGCTTGCCTTTGATCTATTCCTACCTTTGGCCAATGAAAGCTTTTAAAAAATTTCAACATTTTAACATGAAAATTTTCAAATATACAGAAAAATTCAAATAGTTATGCAATGTACAGCCATATGTGTATTATATTTATGTATAAGAGTCCTGTTGCTCTTATACAAATTACCATGAATTTAGTGGCTTAAAAGTAACACAAATGTATTCTCTTACAATTCTGATGGTCAGAGGTCTAAAATGAGGCTTATAAAAAATCGAGGTACTAGCAAGATATGTTACTTCTGGAAATTCTAGGGGTATCTATTCCTTGCCTTTTCCAGCTTTTAGAAGATGTACATATTACTTGGCTTGTGGGCACATCATCCTTTGCTTCTGTAGTGATAGCACTTTTTCCATTTCTGGCCTTCTGCCAGGACCCTCCCTCTTTAAGGACCCTGAGATTACATTGCCTCCATTCTGATATTCCAGGATAATTTTTGCATTTTAAGATTCTTAATCCCATTGGCAAAATCCCTCTTGTTGTGTAAGGTAACATATTCCCAGGTTTTAGGGAGTAGGGTGTGCATGCATTTGGGGATCATTATTCAGCTTACTGTAAGCTACCTCCTATGTTTTAACATTGGCATTTTGCTTTATTACATAGCTGTCTCTTCATTCCTGTGTTTGGCTGTGTCCCCACCCGAATCTCATCTTGAATTCCTATGTGTTGTGGGAGGAACCTGGTGGGAGGTAATTGAATCATGGGAGCAGGTCTTTCTCCCATGATTTGGAAGCTATATGAGCATTTAAAGCAAAAATCTAACGTCCCATTTATTGTGTGGTTTACAACACACAGCACTCAGCATTCTCCTGTGCAAGGCTCCCTCTACCCTTCTCCATTTTCTCACTGCTTTGGTGAGTTTCTAGGACCTTAGGGTTAATTTTTATATTTTTAAAAGAGTTTATAGTTGTTTCCTATGAGAGGGTTAGTCTGGTAGGAACGTCTCCTCTATTCCCAATGGAGCTCTGATTTAAACAGATAAAGATAAGTTTTTAGCACTGGGTGAAGAGAGCATAGGCCTGAGTGCTAATTTGATGCAGCAGTGGGAATGTAATTCAAAATGTGAGATTGAGAAATGCCAAACATAAATGCTTATTACTTCAGAATTTTGTTTCAGGCCAACATATTTCTCTACCTCTACCTTCTACTTTTTCCTCTATGTCTATCTTCTTTACTTCCTCATTCTCTTCCCCCAGTATTATGTCGCCTATCTCATTTTAAGGCCCAGACCTTAGCAAAGCTAGTGTCTGGGTTATTCTCTAAGAACGTTAAGGACTAAATAAGCATTTCTAGGCTACCTAGGGAGTGTAAGCACCACCTGTGAATTTCAGTTCTGAACATTTAGAAGCCAGCCTCTGAATAAAGCCCGCTCATACTTTAGCATGCCACTTGTTCTAAGTTTCAGTCCGGTGCCAGGGGTTTGTTCTGTGCTCTATCCTCTTCTTTATCCAATAGCTCCTGAGAGGTTATCTCTGTTAGGCCCCTAGGATATAACTGCTGCACTTGGCTGCTAACTTGTAATGAAGATATTACTTCTCAGTTCTCTTTCTAAAAGGAACACACTTCTGTTCTAAAGTCCTATGCCTCTGTTTATTTCTCTGCCTGTAGTAGAACCCACTAGACCATTTCAGCCCAGTTAGGTTTTTCTTGTGTTACTAACAGCAGATTACAGAACACCAGTTGGGTTAGGGATGGTCCATGCTGCTGTTTTAGCCAACCAAGTCACCCCAGCCTTTCAGCAGACAGTCGACCCATCTGCCACAATAGAAAATGGGTGATAGAAAGGCCACTTAGGTAGGGTGGAGAGAGATGGTCTTAAATTCTATTAGACTCAGACATTCTTTTAGGAAGAAATGACTCAAATTTTGCAGCTGGAAAATTGAGAGAGGGAGGGAGCTTAAAATTTCCTTATCATTATTACTTTAGAGGGCAGACTTTGAAAGCTTGCTACTCCTATTCAGAACACTTATTTTCTTAAATCTTCTCTAATTTACTCATACACTCTTTGGGATATGCATTGAAAACAGATTCAGTATACTGGGAAAAAAATCAACTCTAAAAAACGCCTAACTCACAGAACAGCTACATTAAGAGTTCAATGTTCACAGCACTAAAGGGTTATTTGTTTTTATAAAATGTTTCTCTGAAGTGTTCCCTAAAAATACCAAATTCCCTTGGTGCCTTTAAAGTGAGAATCACATTACAAAAATCCTATTTAACAGAACATTCTGGGAACATACAAGGTGTGATTGTAAAATATTATGGCTGATTTGAAGAAAAATTCCAGGACTTATACATTCAAAGGAGCGGTGTTCCCTTCAAAGCAATCACCGTGTGGGCCTTTACACTTACCTCATCGAACATGAGGATGACAATGTCTCCCTCACTGTGTTGCCCTAGAGGCTGACGTGAGATAACTAAGAAAATGCATGGGTGCAGTAAATGTTGAAGAAAAGAACAGGTTTTGTTTTCAATTCCAAGGAAACTATAATTACTCATTCATCACTAGAATTCCAATGTGAAAATTATTCTGTGTGCCCCAGTGACGGTTTATCTCTGGTCTGGGATGAATTTGGAGTCAACCATAGAGAGTAAGGTGGCTGGTTAATGGATTGTGTGTGTGTGTTTGTGTGTGTGTGTGTGTGTTGTGGGTGTGTACATGCTGCAATTTTTTTTTTTTTTTTTGAGAGACTGAGTCTTGCTCTGTCTCTACCGGCCAGGCTGGAGAGCAGTGGTTCAATCTTGGCTTACTGCAACCTCTGCCTCCCAGGTTCAAGGATGCAAGCAATACTCCTGCCTCAGCCTCCCTAGTAGCTGGGACTATAGGTGCATGTCACCCTGCCCGGCTACCGGCTAATTTGTATTTTAGTAGAGTTGGGGTTTCACCGTGTTGCCCAGGCTAGTCTCGAACTCCTGAGCTCAGGCAATCTGCCTGCTTCTGTTTCTTATTTTTATGAGCTCTTAAATTACCAATCTCATAGGGTGTGTGTGTGTGTGTGTGTGTGTGTGTGTGTGTGTGTCTTGTAGACAAAGTAACAAACGTAAAAAGCCATGTTTGGTCATTTCTGCGTGCCAGCATAATTTCCCAAAGCTCTGACTCTGTAACAACCTGCAGCTTTCTGGAAAGATGCTTTGAAGACAAAATAGGGTAAGGCACGTGCGCCTGAGTCAATACTTAGCTTTGCCTTTTCCTACACAGAAAATAATGTCCAATGGGGTTGGTGACTATGCTTCTGTAATCTATGACCAGATGTACTCTCACACATTATCCTTGGTGTGATCTTTGCTTCGATGTAACATCTGAACAAGTTGGAGATGAATTTGCACATTCGGAACCTCTACCATCTGTATATAAGCAATGGGCTAAAACACTGTCTTGCTGCAGTCTGGCAGGACTACTCCATGGCTGGAGGACTCAGTATAGTCTTACTGTCCACTGCAAGATTTTTGAATGAAACTAACTTTAATTCTTTAAAAGCTTGACATCTTGTTCCTTTAGCCAACAGTGTGTATGTATATATAAATATGTATACATAACACATAACATAGTCGTATGAGTTATTTGCATATTTAATTTGGCAGGGTGGTGGGGTAAACGTGAAACAAGTGCCGTGTGTCCTCAGCATGGGATTTAACCCAAATGCCCACAGTAGTGGATCTCAATCTTTGCCATATATTCAATTGCTTAGTAAACTTAATCCTGACCTCCTGCCGCACCCTACACCAATTGATTCAGAACCCGTAGGAAGAGATGTCAGTCATTTTAAAATCTCGCCAGGTAATACCAATGGGCAGCCAAGTCCCAGAGCAGGAACCCAGATGGTCCTCAGTGGCGGATGCCTCTTAGAAGCACCTGCAGAGCTCTCAGAACTTACCAGTGCCTGGGCCCTGCCCCTCCCACTTATCTGGGGTGGAGCCTGGGATATGATTTGGGGTATTTTTTGAAAGTTCTCCTGCTGATTCCAGTGTGTAGCTCTGAACCCCCAAAATTTGAGACAGGTCTCAGTTAATTTAGAAAGTTTATTTTGCCAAGTTTGAGGACCCGCAACCACGACACAGCCTCAGGAGGTCCTGATGACATGTTCCCAAGGAGGTCAGAGCACAGCGTGGTTTTATACATTTTAGGTCAACATGAGACATCAATCAACATATATAAAATGAACATTTGTTCGGTATGGAAAGGCAGGACAACTCAAAGCAAAAGCGGGAGAACTCGAAGCAACTTGAGGCAACTAGAAGCAGGAAGGGGGCATCTAGGCTGCAGCTAGATGAGAGACAAACGGTTGCATTCTTTTGAGCTTCTGATTAGCTTTTCCAAAGGAGCCAATCAGGTATGCATTTATCTCAGCAGAGGGATGATTTTGAATAGAATGGGGGACAGGTTTGCCCCACGCAGTTTCCAGCTTGAATTTTCCCTTTAGCTTAGTGATTTTGAGGGCCCAAGATATTTTGCTTTCACATAGCCAGGTCTGGGAACTGGTGGCTGCAGGTGCCCAGCTGCTGAGGGAGAGGGATGAAGAGGGCATAGGCAGTGGCCACACAAAATGGGACAGCATCTTCTCTAAGGGGGCAGCTGCTGTGCAGATTTCTGTGGGGATGTGAGCCCACTGTCACCAGCTCTTCTATTTTTCAAGTGACACTGGAAGTCTGGGATTTATGTAGAAACATTTAATTTTTAAATTGTGATAAAATAGATGTAACATACAATTTACCATTGAAACCGTCTTTAAGTGTACCTTCAGTACATTCACAGTGGTGTGTAATCATCACTACTGTCCATCTCCAGAATGTTTTTCATCTTCCCAAACGAAAACTCCAAACTGTTAAACAATAACTCCCCATTCCTGGTAGCCAATGTTCTATTTTCTGTCTTCAT